GAGACTCAGTGGTTGTGGTTGGAGCCAATGTTGTTGTGGTTGGAGCCACTGTGGTTGTAGTTGGAGCTGCTGTAGTTGTTGTTGGTGCAGTTGTGGTTGTTGTTGGAGCCACTGTGCTGGTAGTGGGAGCTTCTGTAGTTGTTGTTGGAACCACAGTGGTTGTGGTTGGAGACTCAGTGGTTGTGGTTGGAGCCAATGTGGTTGTAGTTGGAGATGTTGTGGTTGTTGGAGCCACTGTTGTTGTAGTAGGAGCTGCTGTAGTTGTTGTTGGAGCTGCTGTGGTTGTTGTTGGGGCAGTTGTTGTTGTAGATGGAGTTTCTGTAGTTGTTGTTGGTGCAGGGGTAGTTGTTGGAGATGCTGTGGTTGTTGTTGGAGCCACTGTGCTTGTGGTTGGAGATGCTGTGGTTGTTGTTGGAGCCACTGTGGTTGTAATGGGAGCTGCTGTAATTGTTATCGGAGCCACAGTGGTTGTGGTTGGAGCTGCTGTGGTTGTCGTTGGTTCAGTTGTGGTTGTAGTTGGAGCCACTGTGGTTGTAGTTGGAGCTGGTGTAGTTGTTGTTGGTGCAGGGGTAGTTGTTGGAGATGTTGTGGTTGTTGTTGGAGCCACTGTTGTTGTAGTAGGAGCTGCTGTAGTTGTTGTTGGAGCCACAGTGGTTGTGGTTGGAGACACAGTGGTTGTGGTTGGGCCACTGTGGTTGTAGTTTGGAGATGCTGTGGTTGTTGTTGGAGCCACTGTGGTTGTGGTTGGAGCTGCTGTGGTTGTTGGAGATGTTGCGGTTGTTGTTGGAGACTCAGTGGTTGTTTGTTGGAGATGCTGTGGTTGTTGTTGGAGCCACTGTGGTTGTACTGGGAGCTGCTGTTGTTGTTGGTGCAGATGTGGTTGTTGTTGGAGCCACTGTGCTGGTAGTGGGAGCTTCTGTAGTTGTTGTTGGAACCACAGTGGTTGTGGTTGGAGACTCAGTGGTTGTGGTTGGAGCCAATGTGGTTGTAGTTGGAGATGTTGTGGTTGTTGTTGGAGCCACTGTGGTTGTAGTAGGAGCTGCTGTAGTTGTTGTTGGAGCTGCTGTGGTTGTTGTTGGAGATGCTGTGGTTGTTGTTGGAGCCACTGTGCTTGTGGTTGGAGATGCTGTGGTTGTTGTTGGAGCCACTGTGGTTGTAATGGGAGCTGCTGTAATTGTTATTGGAGCCACAGTGGTTGTGGTTGGAGCTGCTGTGGTTGTCGTTGGTTCAGTTGTGGTTGTAGTTGTAGCCACTGTGGTTGTAGTTGGAGCTGGTGTAGTTGTTGTTGGTGCAGGGTAGTTGTTAGAGATGCTGTGTTTGTTGTTGGAGCCACTGTGGTTGTGGTTGGAGCTGCTGTGGTTGTTGTTGGAGACTCAGTGGTTGTTGTTGGAGCCACTGTGGGTTGTAGTTAGAGGTGCTGTTGTTGGTGGTGCAGATGTGGTTGTTGTTGGAGCCACTGTGGTGGTAGTGGGAGCTGCTGTTGTTGGTGGTGTAGATGTGGTTGTTGTTGGTACAGCTGTAGTTGTTGTTGGAGCCACAGTGGTTGTGGTTGGAGTTGCTGTGGTTGTGGTTGGAGCTGCTGTGGTTGTTGGAGACTCAGTGGTTGTTGTTGGAGATGCTGTGGTTGTTGTTGGAGCCACTGTGGTTGTAGTGGGAGCTGCTGTTGTTGTTGGTGCAGATGTGGTTGTTGTTGGTACAGCTTTAGTTGTTGTTGGAGCCACAGTGGTTGTGGTTGGAGACTCAGTGGTTGTGGGTGGAGCCAGTGTTTGTAGTGGGAGCTGCGCTTGTTGTAGTGGGAGCTGCTGTAGTTGTTGGTGCAGATGTGGTTGTTTGTTGGTACAGCTGTAGTTGTCGTTGGAGCACAGTGGTTGTGGTTGGAGACTCAGTGGTTGTGGTTGGCCAATGTGGTTGTGGTTGGAGCCACTGTGGTTGTAGTTGGAGCTGCTGTAGTTGTTGTTGGTGCAGTTGTGGTTGTTGTTGGAGCTGTAGTTGTTGTTGGAGCAGGGTGTTGGAGATGCTGTGGTTGTTGTTAGAGCCACTGTGCTTGTGGTTGCAGACACACAGTGGTTGTTGTTGGAGCTGCTGTAGTTGTTGTGCAGATGTGGTCGTTGGTACAGCTGTAGTGTTGCTGATGCAGTGGTAGTTGTTGTTGGAGCTGCTGTGGTTGTTGTTGGTGCAGTTGTGGTTGTTGGAGCCACTGTGGTTGTAGTTGGAGATGCTGTGGTTGTTGTTGGAGCCACTGTGGTTGTGGTTGGAGCCACTGTGGTTGTAGTTGGAGCTGCTGTAGTTGTTGTTGGAGCTGCTGTGGTTGTTGTTGGGGCAGTTGTTGTTGTAGATGGAGTTTCTGTAGTTGTTGTTGGTGCAGGGGTAGTTGTTGGAGATGCTGTGGTTGTTGTTGGAGCCACTGTGCTTGTGGTTGGAGATGCTGTGGTTGTTGTTGGAGCCACTGTGGTTGTAATGGGAGCTGCTGTAATTGTTATCGGAGCCACAGTGGTTGTGGTTGGAGCTGCTGTGGTTGTCGTTGGTTCAGTTGTGGTTGTAGTTGGAGCCACTGTGGTTGTAGTTGGAGCTGGTGTAGTTGTTGTTGGTGCAGGGGTAGTTGTTGGAGATGCTGTGGTTGTTGTTGGAGCCACTGTGGTTGTAGTGGGAGCTGCTGTAGTTGTTGTTGGAGCCACTGTGGTTGTGGTTGGAGACACAGTGGTTGTGGTTGGGGCCACTGTGGTTGTAGTTGGAGATGCTGTGGTTGTTGTTGGAGCCACTGTGGTTGTGGTTGGAGCTGCTGTGGTTGTTGGAGATGTTGCGGTTGTTGTTGGAGACTCAGTGGTTGTTGTTGGAGATGCTGTGGTTGTTGTTGGAGCCACTGTGGTTGTACTGGGAGCTGCTGTTGTTGTTGGTGCAGATGTGGTTGTTGTTGGAGCCACTGTGCTGGTAGTGGGAGCTTCTGTAGTTGTTGTTGGAGCCACAGTGGTTGTGGTTGGAGACTCAGTGGTTGTGGTTGGAGCCACTGTGGTTGTTGGAGATGTTGTGGTTGTTGTTGGAGCCACTGTGGTTGTAGTAGGAGCTGCTGTAGTTGTTGTTGGAGCTGCTGTGGTTGTTGTTGGAGCTGCTGTGGTTGTTGTTGGAGATGCTGTGGTTGTTGTTGGAGCCACTGTGGTTGTAATGGGAGCTGCTGTAATTGTTATCGGAGCCACAGTGGTTGTGGTTGGAGCTGCTGTGGTTGTCGTTGGTTCAGTTGTGGTTGTAGTTGGAGCCACTGTGGTTGTAGTTGGAGCTGCTGTAGTTGTTGTTGGTGCAGGGGTAGTTGTTGGAGATGCTGTGGTTGTTGTTGGAGCCACTGTGGTTGTGGTTGGAGCTGCTGTGGTTGTTGTTGGAGACTCAGTGGTTGTTGTTGGAGCCACTGTGGTTGTAGTTAAAGCTGCTGTTGTTGGTGGTGCAGATGTGGTTGTTGTTGGAGCCACTGTGGTTGTAGTTGGAGCTGCTGTGTGGTGGTGTAGATGTGGTTGTTGTTGGTACAGCTGTAGTTGTTGTTGGAGCCACAGTGGTTGTGGTTGGAGCCACTGTGGTTGTGGTTGGAGCTGCTGTGGTTGTTGGAGACTCAGTGGTTGTTGTTGGAGATGCTGTGGTTGTTGTTGGAGCCACTGTGGTTGTAGTGGGAGCTGCTGTTGTTGGTGCAGATGTGGTTGTTGTTGGTACAGCTTTAGTTGTTGTTGGAGCCACAGTGGTTTGGTTGGAGACTCAGTCGTTGTGGGTAGAGCCAGTGTGGTTGTAGTGGGAGCTGCGCTTGTTGTAGTGGGAGCTGCTGTAGTTGTTGGTGCAGATGTGGTTGTTGTTGGTACAGCTGTAGTTGTCGTTGGAGCCACAGTGGTTGTGGTTGGAGACTCAGTGGTTGTGGTTGGAGCCAATGTGGTTGTGGTTGGAGCCTCTGTGGTTGTAGTTGGAGCTGCTGTAGTTGTTGTTGGTGCAGTTGTGGTTGTAGTTGGAGCCACTGTGCTGGTAGTGGGAGCTTCTGTAGTTGTTGTTGGAGCCACAGTGGTTGTGGTTGGAGACTCAGTGGTTGTGGTTGGAGCCAATGTGGTTGTAGTTGGAGATGTTGTGGTTGTTGTTGGAGCCACTGTGGTTGTAGTAGGAGCTGCTGTAGTTGTTGTTGGAGCTGCTGTGGTTGTTGTTGGGGCAGTTGTTGTTGTAGATGGAGTTTCTGTAGTTGTTGTTGGTGCAGGGGTAGTTGTTGGAGCTGCTGTGGTTGTTGTTGGAGATGCTGTGGTTGTTGTTGGAGCCACTGTGCTTGTGGTTGGAGATGCTGTGGTTGTTGTTGGAGCCACTGTGGTTGTAATGGGAGCTGCTGTAATTGTTATCGGAGCCACAGTGGTTGTAGTTGGAGCTGCTGTGGTTGTCGTTGTTCAGTTGTGGTTGTGGTTGGAGCCACTGTGGTTGTAGTTGGAGCTGCTGTAGTTGTTGTTGGTGCAGGTGTAGTTGTTGGAGATGCTGTGGTTGTTGTTGGAGCCACTGTGGTTGTGGTTGGAGCTGCTGTGGTTGTTGTGGAGACTCAGTGGTTGTTGTTGGAGCCACTGTGGTTGTAGTTAAAGCTGCTGTTGTTGGTGGTGCAGATGTGGTTGTTGTTGGAGCCACTGTGGTTGTAGTGGGAGCTGCTGTTGTTGGTGGTGTAGATGTGGTTGTTGTTGGTACAGCTGTAGTTGTTGTTGGAACCACAGTGGTTATGGTTGGAGACACTGTGGCTGTGGTTGGAGCTGCTGTGGTTGTTGGAGACTCAGTGGTTGTTTTTGGAAATGCTGTGGTTGTTGTTGGAGCCACTGTGGTTGTAGTGGGAGCTGCTGTTGTTGGTGCAGATGTGGTTGTTGTTGGTACAGCTTTAGTTGTTGTTGGAGCCACAGTGGTTGTGGTTGGAGACTCAGTGGTTGTGGGTGGAGCCAGTATGGTTGTAGTGGGAGCTGCGCTTGTTGTAGTGGGAGCTGCTGTAGTTTTTGGTGCAGATGTGGTTGTTGTTGGTACAGCTGTAGTTGTCGTTGGAGCCACAGTGGTTGTGGTTGGAGACTCAGTGGTTGTGGTTGGAGCCAATGTGGTTGTGGTTGGAGCCTCTGTGGTTGTGGTTGGAGCTGCTGTAGTTGTTGGTGCAGTTGTGGTTGTAGTTGGAGTTGCTGTAGTTGTTGTTGGTGCAGGGGTAGTTGTTGGAGATGCTGTGGTTGTTGTTAGAGCCACTGTGCTTGTGGTTGCAGACACAGTGGTTGTGGTTGGAGCTGCTGTAGTTGTTGGTGCAGATGTGGTCGTTGTTGGTACAGCTGTAGTTGTTGCTGATGCAGTGGTAGTTGCTGTTGGAGATGCTGTGGTTGTTGTTGGTCCATCTGTGGTTGTTGGAGCCACTGTGGTTGTAGTTGGAGCTGCTGTGGTTGTTGGATTCCTTGTGGTAGTTGTCGTAGCAGCTGTGATTGTTGTCTCAGCCACTGTTGTTGTAATTAGAGTCGCTGTGGTTGTCATCGGTGAAGCTGTGGTTGACAGTTCTTCAGCTTTTGCAGCTATGCTTAGAACTTAACCAATATTGCACCATTTTAGTGTCACAGAAAAATTTAATGGAGGTTGAAAAATCTTGACCCATTCCCTGTTTTCACTTACCTGCAAGCAACACCGTGAAGGTATCTAACTTCATCATAATTTCTGTTTTCCTTTCCCTTAGACAGAAATGAATGTTTTGGTTATGTGCATTTCTACAAATATTTCATTTTCCTACCTTATGTGATATTAAAATAAATCTTGATTTATTTTCTCACATACCTTTTTCCTGGTCTTTTATGCAGTTTTAAAATCTTATTGTTGTTGGTGCAAAAGCACCTTATTCAGGTGCTTTTGGAATGACGTTTTGCATTACTAATTAAAAGTTATCATGTTCTGTACAGGGATGCTATAGTGGTGTAGGGGATAGCGCAACCCACTTTTGGAGGAGACGTTCGGGGGTTCAACTTCCAGACCCGACAATATTTGCTGCATGTCTTTCCCCCTCTCTTTAGCCCTTTCCTCTCAACCTACTGTTACATAAGGAACACTAGAGCTTGCAAAAAGCCCCCTAGAGGAAAAAAAATGTTCATGATAACCTTTTAATATCAATCAAAGAAAATTTGGCTTTTATGTTATCTCAGCATTACATGGCCTGAGGAATCGTTCTTCCTGCAGATTAATCAACTTCAGGAACCTGATTTTTAATCTTTTCTAAATTGCCTGTTTTATTAAGGTCATTGCTGATTTCATTTATTCTTCTTGTTAAATATATCTATGTGTTCTGAAATGGTGAACGGTGAACTTTTTTTAATTTAAAATAATGATCAATAATAAAATACCAAATTTTTTTAAACTTTGTAAAGCACAATCTTGATATCACTTTTTGATATAGGAAATAGGAAATAATGTATGATTAGATGCTATACCTACACTCTGGTCGCCTTCCTTTCAAATATGTAATTATCCTTAATTTGAAACTTCAACTATTCTCTCATACATAATAACACACTTTAATTCGAAATAAAATCAGAGCAAATCTTGTTCTAGATAATTGTTACTGCTCCCGTTTGAGATAAGATTTAAATACCTTTTAAAATCAATACATAGCAAAGGCTTTTAGCGTAGCTGTAAGAAAGAGTCTCAGGTATGAAAAACTGGACAGCACCAGGGCCTGACATGATCCATGCCTACTGGCTAAAGAAACTCACTGCCCTCCATGAGTGACTGGCAGCCCAAATGAACCAGCTGCTACAAAGTGGTACTCACCCTGAATGGTTAACTGAAGGGTGGACAATCCTAATCCAGAAGGATCCATCAAAGGGTCCAGTCCCACCCAACTACCGACCAATAACCTGCCTCTCCACAACCTGGAAGCTCATGTCAGGCATCATAGCGGCCAAGATAAGCAAACACATGGATAAACACATGAGCACGGCACAGAAGGGTATCGGTGTAAATACCAGAGGAGCCAAACACCAACTCCTCATAGACCGCACAGTTGCCCGAGACTGCAAAACCCAACACACCAACCTGTGCATGGCTTGGATCGATTACAAGAAAGCCTATGACTCAATGCCGCATACTTGGATCATTGAATGCCTAGAGATGTATAACATCAACAGGATTCTGAGAGCCTTCATTGCAAACTTGATGAGGCTGTGGAAAACTACCCTTGAAGCCAACTGCAAACCACTTGCACAAGTGTCCATCAAATGTGGCATATACCAAGGAGATGCTCTGTCCCCGCTACTGTTCTGCATAGGCCTGAACCCCTCAGCCAAATTATCAACAAGACTGGCTACGGATACCGACTCAAAAATGGGGCCAACATCAGTCACCTCCTCTACATGGATGACATCAAGCTGTATGCCAAGAGTGAGCGAGACATCGACTCACTGATCCACACCACCAGGATCTACAGCACTGACATTGGGATGTCATTCGGACTAGAGAAGTGTGGTCGGCTGATCACAAAGAGGGGGAAGGTGATCCGTACAGAAGGAGTCTCACTCCCACAAGGAACAATAGCAGACATAGAGGACAGTTACAAGTACCTAGGTATACCACAAGCAAATGGCAACCTCGATGAGGCCACAAGGAAAGGAGCCACAGCTAAATACCTTCAACGAATAAGGCAAGTCCTGAAAAGCCAGCTCAATGGCAAGAACAAAATCCGTGCGATAAACAGCTATGCCCTGCCAGTAATCAGATACCCTGCTGGAATAATTAGCTGGCCAAAGGAGGAGATAAAAGCCACAGATATTAAGACTAGAAAGCTACTAACCATGCATGGAGGGTTCCATCCCAAATCCAGCACCCTGAGACTGTACACGAGCCGCAAGGACGGAGGCAGAGGACTAGTGAGTGTGAGAACCACTGTCCAGGACGAAACAACTAAGATCCATAAATACATCAGGGACAAAGCCTCAACAGACAATGTGCTCAGTGAATGTCTCAGACAACAGGGAACGGAGGTTGAGGTGCCAAATACCATCATGGGAGGACAAGCCCCTACATGGGATGTACCACCAGCAAATAACCCAAGTGGCTGATATCAGTAAATCCTACCAATGGCTGGAAAAAGCTGGACTCAAGGACAGCACAGAGGCCCTCATCCTGGCCGCCCAGGAACAGGCCCTAAACACCAGAGCAATAGAGGCCCAGATCTACCACACCAGACAAGACCCAAGGTGTAGGTTGTGCAAGGAGGCCCCTGAGACAGTCCAGCACATAACAGCAGGGTGTACTAGCAGGGAAAGCGTACATGGAACGACATAACCAAGTGGCAGGCATAGTGTACAGAAACATCTGTGCAGAATATGGACTGGAAACCCCGAGATCAAAGTGGGAAACACCCCCAAAGGTGGTGGAGAACGCCAGAGCTAAGATCCTGTGGGACTTCCAGATCCAGACAGACAAAATGGTAATGGCGAACCAACCAGACATTGTCGTAGTGGATAAACATCAGAGGAAAGCCGTTGTGGTAGATGTAGCAATACCAAGTGATTGCAACATCAGGAAAAAGGAGCACGAGAAACTGGAGAAATACCAGGGTCTCAGGGAAGAACTGGAGAGGGCCTGGAAGGTGAAGACCATAGTGGTGCCTGTGATCATCGGGCCCTCGGGGCAGTAACCCCCAAACTGGAGCAGTGGCTACAACAGATCCCAGGAACAACATCAGACATCTCAGTCCAGAAATGTGCAGTCCTTGGCACAGCCAAGATACTGCGCAGAACCCTCAAGCTCCCAGGCCTCTGGTAGAGGACCCGAGCTCAGAGGATAAGAACCACCCGCGGTGGGTGAGAAGGGAATTTATATATATATATATATATATATATATATATATATATATATATATATATATATATATATATATATATTGGTGATGTACAAGCAGGAGGAGCATGCTCCCATAGAATAGCGGCCAGTGCACTTGGCTCAGCTCGCTGCTGCCTCTCCAGCTTATATTCCAAGCGTTTGAATGGGAAATTGCAAAAATTCAGCGATTTTGATGAAAAAATAATCAAAACTGGTTAAACTAAATGAAAAATAAATACTTCTTAGTACAAACCATGGGGTGAAAGTAGTAATATTAATACATTTCTCATTATTTATTATTTTTCTATGATGACAGGCGAGGCTCTGCTACACTTTCATTTTGCAAAGTCACTTTTCAAATGAGCTATTTTTTAGCTCCATTTTTATTGCTGGTCTTCATTCAATATCCTTATATTCAAATTAGGGGGCGGGATTTTGACTGTGGCTGGAAGCCGCCCCACAAACCGCTAAAATCAACACAAAACCAGTGGAAGCAATGGCAGCCCTCTGAGCTGGTCAGAGTGAAGTAAGCTGGTTGACAGTGAGCGTCAGTGCATCTTCATAAAAGAGTAGCATGCGAAGCTGCTCATTATAGATTATTTTTCTTGAACTGACTTGAACTGACATACAGGTCTTGTGCCACCATAGTTATCACTGAGATTATTTGTTAGGCAAGAAAGCTTTTCCTTGTTGAGTTATGCTCAAGTGTTCTTGTTTGGAAAGATTGGCTCTTCTGGTGTAGTCTTCATTGTCTGCACTCTGACCAGACCTGCCCTACAGTCATAATCCCGCTCCCTGTGGATGTTTTTATTTGAATATAAGAACATGAAATAAAAATATCCTAAAAAAATGGAGTTAAAAAAATACATTAAATATTTAAGGTAGCTTTACAAAATAACAGTGTCATAGTATGAAATTATGAATCTTCATATAAATAAGTCTTAAAATAAATAAATAGAATGCATAATGATAAAAAAAGGTAAAAATGTTGTTTTTTTGGTGACATTCATTTATTTCACAGTATATTTATGAATTATTTATTAAGCGTTAATCAAAATGTAAGGTTTGTTCAATTGTTGACTGCATGGTGTTTTCTTCATATCTTTGTCCGGTACTTGTATTATGTAAAGCACCTTGAACTGTCTCGTTCATAGGTGGAGAGAGCTACCCTTGCTTTTCTGAAAAGCTCAGAGCTCAGAGTTAGAGTGATTAAGGTTATCCTGCTATCAATCTGTTGAAGACATGTAGATTGTTGTTCACATTGAGCCATGTTCTGTTAGGGCAGTATTATTTATTTTTGGGTCACAGATTGACTTTTTATCGCTTAACAAGGTGACTTTTTTTCCCTTCTGTTATCATAAAAATGCTGTACAAACCAATTTCACTTAAAATAAATTAGACTTTGTAATTTAATGCTTTGAAATTGAACCTTTGTCTCTTCAAAACTCCTGCTCTTTCTTAAACACTGCCTTAAGGAAGTCATCACAATGTCACTCGTCCTTGGCAGAAGTGAATGCATCGAGTCATTACTTTGCAACATTCACTCCTCCTGGAAGAGCATACAGCAATACTGAACGTTCACTTTCATTGTGTCATTGACTTCTCAGCAGTCTCTGATACCATGCATGGATAGCATTAGCGATGCTCAGGAGGAGCGCAGCAGATGTGACTGTCTGACATCAGGGAGACAGTAGGGTCATCCTGTCAGACCATTATTTCCCAAAATCACACATACAAATGCATGCACACACACATACGCTTGAACAGTGCAACTCTGTCGGAGAAAAAAATCTCCCAGGGTCTAATGATGGACTGTTGGAGATTACCACATTTAGGATATAGTATTAACTGTTGATTAACAAAATATTCTGCTCATACATCTTACAAATTGTTTAAGATCTAGAAATTTGTAACTCCATAATTATTTTATGTTCAGTTTAATACATCTAACTGCCCTTTGAACTTGCTATAACTTAAATCATTCACTCTCATATATTTTCTAAAAATCCTTCCTTTCATTTCCAAAAATATAATCATTCTGAGTACTATTTAACTTTAATACATATTAAACATCATATTTTTAAAATATAAATTGTGTAATATAAGACAAATAGTTGTATTTTCTAAACAGAAAAAAATCAATGGTCCACTGTTGCAATTACCAGTAGTACATACCTGGTAATATGACGCAAAAACGGCATAATTATCGATTATGCCGTATTAACTAGTAGTTAAAAGTAGCTTTTAACTACTAATTAATTAGCTAACTATGAAACAGCTGTAATTACATTGATTTATAATGTAAATAATAATGTGTCCCACTTTACTGTGCAATCCATTTGTTAATAGCGGGTGATTTGGGGATTACTTTTTAAAAATAAATAATACATTTGCAACCCAGGTAAATTTATTTGTTTTTATGGGTTGCAAATAAATAAATTTCTATGAACCACAAATCTCAAACAACCTGTAACGCAGCTGTTTTGGATTCGAGTCCCGGCAGTTGACCTTTGCCGTATGTTTCTCCCCTCCCTCACAACCCGCTTTCCTGTTGCTCAAATGCCATTATTTCAGATAAAATAAAAAAAAATAATTAAAAATTACAAAATAAATAAATGACATAAAAATAACAGTACAAATTATATACAGTACTAAAATTAATTTTAAGTTTGAAATTTGTTTTCTTAAAATATTACTCAATATCTTACTACTTATTAACAAACTCTACCATAATTTTTGAATTACAAAAAAGTCACCAAGATATTTTGTACTTACAGATTCCAGCTGGATATTTTTTTCACTGCAGTAACAGAAGTTGCGATGCTCAGCTATCCTTCCTGTCTGTTGTGTGAAAACTTCTTCCAGCAGAAGCTTTTAAATCCCAACGATCAGGTCATGTGGCATTGGTTTGAAGCAAACAAAAAACTATGAGCATAGTTCATAAGGAACGTCATAAAGCAATATTTTAGGTGTGGTTTCTTCTGATATTTCTAATTTCTTTTGTACACAAACAGGCTGAACTACATTTCTTACCTTGCTAATTGAAGAATAAGTCTTTATATTTGGAGTATAAATACTATACCAAGCAATTGTCCACTAATCTTTTTAAAATTTTCTAAATTAAACCTATTTTGCCTTACCAATAGTCTTTTAAGTTAAAAACATAATGTAAAAATTTCTTCACCTGTCTTTTTTTTTTTTTAAAAAAAGGTAATGAATCAATATTAAAATTGTTAAGCATATATGTTTTAATAGTAATAATTCAGATGTTCTTTTTTCAAGAAGCTACTTGGCTGCATTGTTTGTTTAGATTTAGAAATATCTTCACTCCTCGAAAAGAAAAGCATGTAGCGGTGACCCACAAAAGCTCTTTAGTCATGGCTTAAAAAAAAGTTTTTTATATGACTCTGTCCAGTGGCAACAAAAAGAAACTTTGATTTCACACCCTTAGCGTCACACCTCGAGAACCAAGTACACACACATCAAGGCATGAGTCATAATTTTCATTACTTCTGAGTCCTAAGCAGAGCTATACTAATTTAATGTATTATCATTTTTATTTATCCTATGACATATTTTTACTTCCTATTTCATTCCTATTGCTCAGTTTCATCTGATCAGAGCTGAGTATGATCGTATTGATTTTTTTGAACAAGTTATCAATGGGGGCTGCACAGTGGCGCAGTTGGTAGCACTGTTGCCTTGCAGCAAGAAGGTCCTGGGTTCGATTCCCGGCCGGGGTCTTTCTGCACAGAGTTTGCATGTTCTCCCTGTGCATGCGTGGGTTCTCTCCGGGTTCTCGGCTTCCTCTCACAGTCCAAAAACATGGACTGTCAGGTTAATTGGTCTTTTCAAATTCTCCTTAGGTGTGAGTGTGTGTGTCTATGGTTGTTTGTCCTGTTTGTGTTGCCCTGCGATAGACTGGCGACCAGTCCAGGGTGAACCCCGCCTCTTGCCTGGAGCGCAGCTGGAGAGGCACCAGCACCTCCCAACCCCGTTAGGGAGAAGGGTGACCGGAAGATGGATGGATGTTATCAATGGTAAGGTTTATCTTTAAATTTGTTACTGTTGTTCAGTAGTGTTTTGCTGTTTTTTTCCTTCTTTTTTCGTTAGTTGCTAGCATCAGAAAAACTGTCCCTGTGTTATATTTAATGTCACACACCAACACACCCAGAGTTTGGAATTGTTCCTCCTGTGTGATAATTGCTTCCACCAAACTTGTATTGTTGTATGGTATTTGAATATGCATGACAATAAACAATTAGATGTGGGTGCCTCCCATGCTTACAAAAGATTATGCCACATCTTGATCTGTTGCTCTTCCTGTTTTTCCACTTTATTCAAGTTCAAACTCACTGGTTGTCTCAAAACTAATGAGTTACGTAACTATATTCTGGTAAAACATAAATGATAGCAGGAAATATAAATAACTGAAGCATAACTACACAAATAAATGATCTGTTAAAATGAATGCTGAATTTTCAATTATTATAGATGTAGTTATGTTCTCTATCAAGTTAGCAGATTATTTAAATAAAGCAATTTTACCAATATTTCTCATTCACATTGTCTTTGAAATAACCAGAGATCCTATTTAAAATAATAGTTACAGATTATCTAAATTTACCTGCCTGTCTGCCTTATGACTTGAAAGGCATGTTTCAATATAACTCTTTGGATATTGCCATGTGATTGGATCATTTATTTTTTATTTAGAAACCAGTTGAACAATTTTACCAGTTAAAGTGTCTCATTCTATCTTATAATTCTGACAAGAAAAGTGGTATTCACAATGCGGTTTACAATAATATTCAGAACCAATCACTCTTCATTATTCTGAGGCCCAATTTTAATGTCAGCAAGTCTTCTTTGTGTGCCTAAATATGTGATTTAACAAACTAAATATGTGACTGGCAGATTTGAGTATTTAATAGTTGTATTGGTAACCAACTGAACAAGTGTACCTGCTAAAGTTGCTGGTGAGTGATGGTGATCTGACTAAAATGTAATAATAATAATAATAATAATAATAATAATAATGACAATAATAATAAAATGATGACAATAATAATAATAAAAACAGGCCTTGAGACCCACATTAAACCTAGCATTGAAAGAAAATCTGGCATAGGAAGTTATCCAGTGATTATGCAGTTTCTTTAAAAATTGTCATCTCATCGGTTTCTTCCCTTTTAACTCTTCTCAAAGCATGCATCATATTGACTGGATAAATAAATCTCAGAGCACACATATGTTGCTGCAACAGCAACAATTTTATGCAGTCGCAAAGCACACAGGAATGTCAATGAACAATATGATTTATGTGTTTAATGTTCAGTTTGCCTCCCGGTATTGTGGTAAGATTCCTTTATTCTGTCACCATGGCACAAGATTTTGTTTGACAAAAATAGGAACACCACTATTATGACTCAGATGGAGGATAAAGTGGCAATGTCTGGGGTGTGTCCTAGAGGTGGAATAATCACTACGTACATCCCTACCTTCCTGACCTAAACGGATATTTAAACAAGTGATATAAAAAAATATTTTTACAGTTTTCTCAGTTGTTTTGTCAATGGAAGACATATGATGAATAGGAGGAGACAACAATTATACCTAAATTATACCTCTACTCACTGAGTGTCCTTAGCCTCCTTCTCACATCAGGAAAGATTACAGAGCCACCTTGTGGGTAGAAGAGCTCATGCCAGGAAGTGAATGGCCCAGTGACAGGCCAAATGGGAAGGGAGAGAGATAACCTTCTCTTTGCTGAACAAAATGTATAAGTTGGACTTCAGGATTTAGGTGTTGTTTCTCTGCTCAATTTATGAGGTTTATTCTGTTCCGGCCAGGGAAACCCCTAAAACCCAAGTGCACAGAAAAAAGAACTATAGAATTGATGCCCACAGTGATAATCTCAGATCAGCGGTCTAGTGTTTTTCTTCTAACCGCAATTTATCTTTTCTTCTTGCCAATGTAAACAATTATTTCTTTTTTTTTTATCATTTTTTTCTCTGAAGAGTTTTTGTGGCGCTAGTGACTCGTATTTTCGACAGAAGGCAGACAAGAAAGAGGGCGAGAAGAGGGGGAAGACATGCGGCAAAGGTTGCCGGGACCAGGAGTCGAACTCGCGACGCCCGCGTCAAGGACTATGGCCTCCAAACGTGGGGTATTAAATTATTGTGTAATTTTTTTTTTGTATTTTTTGCTACCTGTTATCAGGAACTTCCTTGGAGAAGAGGTTTTTATTACTAATGGGTTTTTAATCCTAGTCTAATAAATGTTATGGACACCCTGATAGGTGCGATAGGTCACGCTTCACCGGTAATATAAGCTGCAGAGTGAAGTGCAGAACGCATCCAAACCTTCAAAGCACCAGTGAAAAATAACAAGCAAAACAATGTTGTAAAAAATGACTTATTCTACAGGGACAGAGAAAAGAAAGAGGGAGAATAAAAAAGCCAAGATAAGGGAATGTTTACATCTCTTGGTAATGTAATGTTTATTAAAAATAAAAAGATTTTGTGCATCAACAATCAAGCTCATTTTAGGTTGAACTGGTCCAGTTCAACAGCCAAACATTTATGCCAATGTCTTTTGTTTTTTTTGTTTTTTTTGTGTATGTTTTTGCTTCCAAACAGCACGTTTGATAACTTTTGATAACAATATTTAAATCTTCTCAATGTTTGACTTTGTCTAGAAAAAATATTTTAACATCTGGCTGCATGGCTTGTGCATGCAGGCTTGGGCAGGCCCTGTCAACATGCATAAGGTGTTCTCACCTTCAGGCCTCTTGCTTGTGACTGCAGCTTTCAGCCAGTCGATGTCACCAGTCAATTTTCTTTGAAGAGTCCCGAATTCAATTACATTCTCAGTCGTCACAATTTAAATTAATTAGGTTGTCAATGGGATATTCACGGAGGTGGTTGGCATACTTTACAAAGCATGACACCCTTTTTCGTCAGCCATATTGAAATTGTGTAAATTGTTTCAAGTGAAATTTGGAAATCATATTTTTATTGGGCCAGATGGGCTGATCCCAGTATTTACGAAAGGGATTGAACATTTCGGTCCACAACAATCTTCAAGGTTTAAAGGTTTAAAATTATATTAAAAAAAATATTTATATTTAAGATTTACATCATTACGATGTTATTTTCTCAAAAAATCATACCTGGAGTTTTGCTTTGATTATTTCATGCATGTTTTAGAAGCCCTTTACTTCCTTCTGACAGAGAATCCATCTCCTACTGTCCCCATTCTCTGCTTCTTCAGACTAGCCATCAGCAATTAGCAAAAACCTGGTGGAACTTTGCATCGCTGAGCTCAATACAAACTACTTCAGTGTAATGCTAGTAAAAGAAAATTGTGAAAGGGTAAATAGAGGAGCAAGGTTAAATGTGGAGATTTAAGCATCTTTAAAGAGATAAAGACCCAAGGCATTAAATTACAAAGTGAAATTTCTTTTATGCCATGTTTGATATTCACCACTTTCATAACAACTGAAAGAAATTTAGTTACTTGATTGTGCTACAAAATTATTATATGTAGCTGGAAAACACATAATACTGCCATGTTAAAGAGCACGGTTTGAAAAACAGAAAATATTACGTGACCTATTAATCTGTTGGTAGGACAATGCCTTGTGCTTATAAGTGGTCTAATGATAATGAGAATGCGGTCAGTTTCAGTATGTACAGTAAGAATTATGTGTAAAAAAACAAGAGCATTGTTGCTGAAGTCATCCTTTTCTGGCAGATGTGGAGCCTGTCTTTTGCATTGGTTTCGGTCTTGGAACTTGAATGTGCATGATTTAAATTTAATGGGTTAGCGATTGTAAATAAAATCAAGTTAGTCTGAATAATTTTCTCCCATTCTTTATTGATAAACCTTTATGTTAAATACATGAGTATTACCAGTTACAAATTGGTCAACTATGAAAAGCACATCCATTTCTGGAACAGGCGTAATAAATAAAATGCTTACAATACATATTTGTTAAAAAATAAATAAATAAAAACTGTACATTAGGTTATATTTTTTAAGAAATAAAATGTAATTTTTGCCTAAATCTATATACAGCTCATTAGATCCTGCAAGAAAGACTTAAGCAAAAAAAAAAATCTTCTGTAAGAAAAATGTGAAAAATTACTGGTATGAATAAATTCTTTTTATGGGATAATAGTATTACTCTTAAATAAGCGTACAAAGAAAAAAAGGGATGAATTTAAAGACCATAATAAATAAGAAGAAAAATAAACTTTACATTGCAATTTAAAGTTAAAAAAAAGCTACTGTAATAACTGCTGTGACCAAAAGAAAACTTATTTTATGACTCCCTGCTGCAGAAGCAGTTGTGGTTGTTGTTTGAGCAGCAGTTGCTGTGGTTGGAGCAGTTGTGGTTGTTGGGGCAGTGGCAGTTGTTGGAGCAGGTGTAGTTGTGGTTGGAGCAGCTGTTGTTGTGGTTGCAGCAGCTGTAGTTGTGGCAGGTGCAGCAGTGGTTGTGGCAGTTGTGGTTGGGGCAGCTGTGTTTGTTGTGGCAGGTGCAGTAGTAGTTGTGGTTGAAGAAGCTGTTGTTGTAGTTGGGGCAGCTGTAGTTGTGGTTGGGGCAGCTGTAGTTGTTGTGGTTGGTGCAGCAGTGGTTGTGGTTGGGCAGTTGTTGTTGTGGTTGAGGCAGCTGTAGTTGTGGTTGAAGCAGTTGTTGTGGTTGGGGCAGCTGTAGTTGTGGTTGAAGCAGTTGTGGTTGGGGCAGCTGTAGTTGTGGTTGGGGCAGCTGTAGTTGTGGTTGAAGCAGTTGTTGTTGTGGTTGGGGCAGCTGTAAATGTGGTTGCGGCAGCTTTGGTTGTTGTGGTTGGGGCAGCTGTAGTTGTGGTTGGGGCAGCTGTAGTTGTGGTTGAAGCAGTTGTTGTGGTTGGGGCAGCTGTAGTTGTGGTTGAAGCAGTTGTGGTTGGGGCAGCTGTAGTTGTGGTTGCGGCAGCTGTGGTTGTTGTGGTTGGTGCAGCAGTGGTTGTGGTCGGGGCAGCTGTAGTTGTGGTTGGGGCAGTTGTGGTTGTTGTGGCAGGTGCAGCAGTAGTTGTGGTTGAAGCAGCAGTTGTTGTAGTTGGGGCAGCTGTAGTTGTAGTTGGTGCAGCAGTGGTTGTGGTTGGGGCAGTTGTTGTTGTGGTTGGGTCAGCTGAGGTTGTTGTGGTTTGTGCAGCAGTGGTTGTGGTTGGAGCAGCTGTTGTTGTGGTTGGGACAGCTGTAGTTGTGGTTGAAGCAGTTGTTGTTGTGGTTGGGGCAGCTGTGGTTGTTGTGGTTGGTGCAGGAGTGGTTGTGGTTGGAGCAGCTGTTGTTGTGGTTGGGGCAGCTGTGGTTGGTGCAGCAGTGGTTGTGATCGGGGCAGCTGTAGTTGTGGTTAGGGCAGCTGTGGTTGCTGTGGTTGGTGCAGCAGTGGTTGTGGTTGAAGCAGCTGTAGTTGTTGTTGGGGCAGCTGTAGTTGTGGTTGGTGCAGGAGTGGTTGTGGTTGGAGCAGCTGTTGTTGTGGTTGGGGCAGCTGTAGTTGTGGTTGAGGCAGTTGTTGTTGTGGTTGGGGCAGTAGTAGTTGTGGTTGGGGAAGCTGTAGTTGTAGTTGGGGCAGCTGTGGTTGTTGTGGTTTGGGGCAGTAGTAGTTGTGGTCGGGGCAGCTGTAGTTGTAGTTGGGGCAGCTGTGGTTGTGGTTGGTGCAGCAGTGGTTGTGGTTAGGGCAGCTGTGGTTGCTGTGGTTGGTGCAGCAGTGGTTGTGGTTGAAGCAGCTGTAGTTGTTGTTGGGGCAGCTGTAGTTGTTGTGGTTGGTGCAGGAGTGGTTGTGGTTGGAGCAGCTGTTGTTGTGGTTGGGGCAGCTGTAGTTGTGGTTGAGGCAGTTGTTGTTGTGGTTGGGGCAGTAGTAGTTGTGGTTGGGGAAGCTGTAGTTGTAGTTGGGGCAGCTGTGGTTGTTGTGGTTGGGGCAGTAGTAGTTGTGGTCGGGGCAGCTGTAGTTGTAGTTGGGGCAGCTGTGGTTGTGGTTGGTGCAGCAGTGGTTGTGGTTGGGGCAGCTGTGGTTGTTGTGGTTGTTGCAGCAGTGGTTGTGGTCGGGGCAGCTGTAGTTGTGGTTGGGGCAGTTGTGGTTGTTGTGGCAGGTGCAGCAGTAGTTGTGGTTGAAGCAGCAGTTGTTGTGGTTGGGGTAGCTGTAGTTGTAGTTGGGGCAGCTGTAGTTGTTGTGGTTGGTGCAGCAGTGGTTGTGGTTGGGGCAGCTGAGGTTGTTGTGGTTTGTGCAGCTGTTGTTGTGGTTGGAGCAGCTGTAGTTGTGGTTGGGGCAGCTGTAGTTGTTGTGGTTGGTGCAGCAGTGGTTGTGGTTGAAGCAACTGTTGTTGTGGTTGGGGCAGCTGTAGTTGTTGTTGTGGCAGGTGCAGCAGTGGTTGTGGCAGTTGTTGTGGTTGGTGCAGCTGTGGTTGTTGTGGCAGGTGCAGTAGTAGTTGTGGTTGAAGCAGCTGTTGTTGTAGTTGGGGCAGCTGTAGTTGTGGTTGGGGCAGTTGTTGTGGTTGGGTCAGCTGAGGTTGTTGTGGTTGGGGCAGCTGTAGTTGTGGTTGAAGCAGTTGTTGTGGTTTGGGTAGCTGTAGTTGTGGTTGAAGCAGCTGTGGTTGTTGTGGCTGGGGGAGCTGTAGTTGTTGTGGTTTGTGCAGCAGTGGTTGTGGTTGGAGCAGCTGTTGTTGTTGTTGGGGCAGCTGTGGTTGTGGTTGAAGCAGTTGTTGTTGTGGTTGGGGCAGCTGTAGTTGTGGTTTCGGCAGCTGTGGTTGTTGTAGTTGGGGCAGGTGTGGTTGTTGTGGTTGGGGGAGCTGTAATTGTTGTGGTTTGTGCAGCAGTGGTTGTGGTTGGGGCAGCTGTAGTTGTGGTTGAAGCAGTTGTTGTGGTTGGGGCAGCTGTAGTTGTGGTTTGTGCAGCAGTGGTTGTGGTTGGAGCAGCTGTTGTTGTGGTTGGGGCAGCTGTAGTTGTGGTTGGGGCAGCTGTTGTTGTGCTTGGGGCAGCTGTAGTTGTGATTGGGGCAGCTGTAGTTGTGGTTGAAGCAGTTGTTGTTGTGGTTGAAGCAGTTGTTGTTGAGGTTGGGGCAGCTGTAGTTGTGGTTGCGGCAGCTGTGGTTGTTGTGGTTGGGGCAGCTGTGGTTGTTGTGGTTGGGGCAGGTGTGGTTGTTGTGGTTGGGGCAGCATTAGTTGTGGTCGGGGCAGCTGTAATTGTGGTTGGGGCAGCTGTGGTTGTTGTGGTTGGGGCAGCTGTAGTTGTGGTTGAAGCAGCTGTGGTTGTTGTGGTTGGGGCAGCTGTAGTTGTGGTTTGTGCAGCAGTGGTTGTGGTTGGAGCAGCTGTTGTTGTGGTTGGGGCAGCTGTAGTTGTGGTTGGGGCAGCTGTTGTGGTTGGGGCAGCTGTAGTTGTGATCGGGGCAGCTGTAGTTGTGGTTGAAGCAGTTGTTGTTGTGGTTGAAGCAGTTGTTGAGGTTGGGGCAGCTGTAGTTGTGGTTGCGGCAGCTGTGGTTGTTGTGGTTGGGGCAGCTGTGGTTGTTGTGGTTGGGGCAGGTGTGGTTGGGGCAGCATTAGTTGTGGTCGGGGCAGCTGTAATTGTGGTTGGGCAGCTGTGGTTGTTGTGGTTGGTGCAGCAGTGGTTGTGGTTGAAGCACCTGTAGTTGTTGGGGCAGCTGTAGTTGTTGTGGTTGGTGCAGCAGTGGTTGTGGTCGGGGCAGCTGTAGTTGTGGTTGGGGCAGTTGTGGTTGTTGTGGCAGGTGCAGCAGTAGTTGTGGTTGAAGCAGCAGTTGTTGTGGTTGGGGCAGCTGTGGTTGTTGTGGTTGTTGCAGCAGTGGTTGTGGTCGGGGCAGCTGTAGTTGTGGTTGGGGCAGTTGTGGTTGTTGTGGCAGGTGCAGCAGTAGTTGTGGTTGAAGCAGCAGTTGTTGTGGTTGGTGCAGCAGTGGTTGTGGTTGGGGCAGCTGAGGTTGTTGTGGTTTGTGCAGCTGTTGTTGTGGTTGGAGCAGCTGTAGTTGTGGTTGGGGCAGCTGTAGTTGTTGTGGTTGGTGCAGCAGTGGTTGTGGTTGAAGCAACTGTTGTTGTGGTTGGGGCAGCTGTGGTTGTTGTGGCAGGTGCAGCAGTGGTTGTGGCAGTTGTTGTGGTTGGTGCAGCTGTGGTTGTTGTGGCAGGTGCAGTAGTAGTTGTGGTTGAAGCAGCTGTTGTTGTAGTTGGGGCAGCTGTAGTTGTGGTTGGGGCAGCTGTAGTTGTTGTGGTTGGTGCAGCAGTGGTTGTGGTTGAAGCAACTGTTGTTGTGGTTGGGGCAGCTGTGGTTGTTGTGGCAGGTGCAGCAGTGGTTGTGGCAGTTGTTGTGGTTGGTGCAGCTGTGGTTGTTGTGGCAGGTGCAGTAGTAGTTGTGGTTGAAGCAGCTGTTGTTGTAGTTGGGGCAGCTGTAGTTGTGGTTGGGGCAGTTGTTGTGGTTGGGTCAGCTGAGGTTGTTGTGGTTGGGGCAGCTGTAGTTGTGGTTGAAGCAGTTGTTGTGGTTTGGGTAGCTGTAGTTGTGGTTGAAGCAGCTGTGGTTGTTGTGGCTGGGGGAGCTGTAGTTGTTGTGGTTTGTGCAGCAGTGGTTGTGGTTGGAGCAGCTGTTGTTGTGGTTGGGGCAGCTGTAGTTGTGGTTGGGGCAGCTGTTGTTGTGGTTGGGGCAGCTGTAGTTGTTTTTGGGGCAGCTGTGGTTGTGGTTGAAGCAGTTGTTGTTGTGGTTGAAGCAGTTGTTGTTGTGGTTGGGGCAGCTGTAGTTGTGGTTTCGGCAGCTGTGGTTGTTGTAGTTGGGGCAGGTGTGGTTGTTGTGGTTGGGGCAGCTGTAATTGTTGTGGTTTGTGCAGCAGTGGTTGTGGTTGGGGCAGCTGTAGTTGTGGTTGAAGCAGTTGTTGTGGTTGGGGCAGCTGTAGTTGTGGTTGCGGCAGCTGTGGTTGTTGTGGTTGGGGCAGGTGTGGTTGTTGTGGTTGGGGCAGCTGTAGTTGTGGTCGGGGCAGCTGTAATTGTGGTTGGGGCAGCTGTGGTTGTTGTGGTTGGTGCAGCAGTGGTTGTGGTTGAAGCAGCTGTAGTTGTTGGGGCAGCTGTAGTTGTGGTTGGTGCAGGAGTGGTTGTGGTTGGAGCAGCTGTTGTTGTGGTTGGGGTAGCTGTAGTTGTGGTTGGGGCAGCTGTAGTTGTTGTGGTTGGTGCAGCAGTGGTTGTGGTTGGGGCAGTTGTTGTTGTGGTTGGGTCAGCTGAGGTTGTTGTGGTTGGGGCAGCTGTAGTTGTGGTTGGGACAGCTGTAGTTGTGGTTGAAGCAGTTGTTGTTGTGGTTGGGGCAGCTGTGGTTGTTGTGATTGGGGCAGCTGTAGTTGTGGTCGGGGCAGCTGTAGTTGTAGTTGGGGCAGCTGTGGTTTTTGTGGTTGGTGCAGCAGTGGTTGTGGTTGAAGCAGCTGTAGTTATTGTTGAAGCAGCTGTAGTTATTGTTGGGGCAGCTGTAGTTGTTGTGGTTGGTGCAGGAGTGGTTGTGGTAGGAGCAGCTGTTGTTGTGGTTGGTGCAGCAGTGGTTGTGGTCGGGGCAGCTGTAGTTGTGGTTGGGGCAGCTGTGGTTGCTATGGTTGGTGCAGTAGTGGTTGTGGTTGAAGCAGCTGTAGTTGTTGTTGGGGCAGCTGAGGTTGTTGTTGTTGGTGCAGCAGTGGTTGTGGTTGAAGCAGCTGTAGTTGTTGTTGGGGCAGCTGAGGTTGTTGTTGTTGGGGCAGCTGAGGTTGTTGTGGTTGGTGCAGCAGTAGTTGTGGTTGGGGCAGTTGTTGTTGTGGTTGGGGCAGCTGTGGTTGGTGCAGCTGTGGTTGTGGTTGAAGCAGCTGTAGTTGTTGTTGGGGCAGCTGAGGTTGTTGTGGTTGGGGCAGCTGTGGTTGTTGTGGTTGGTGCAGTAGTAGTTGTGGTTGGGGCAGTTGTTGTTGTGGTTGGGGCAGCTGAGGTTGTTGTTGTTGGGCAGCTGAGGTTGTTGTGGTTGGGGCAGCTGTGGTTGTTGTGGTTGGTGCAGCAGTAGTTGTGGTTGGGGCAGTTGTTGTTGTGGTTGGGGCAGCTGAGGTTGTTGTGGTTGGGGCAGCTGTAGTTGTGGTTGGGGCAGCTGAGGTTGTTGTGGTTGGGGCAGCTGAGGTTGTTGTGGTTGGTGCAGCAGTAGTTGTGGTTGGGGCAGTTGTTGTTGTGGTTGGGCAGCTGTAGTTGTTGTGGTTGGTGCAGCAGTGGTTGTGGTTGGGGCAGTTGTTGTGTGGTTGGGTCAGCTGAGTTTGTTGTGGTTGGGGCAGCTGTAGTTGTGGTTGGGACAGCTGTAGTTGTGGTTGAAGCAGTTGTTGTTGTGGTTGGGGCAGCTGTGGTTGTTGTGATTGGGGCAGCTGTAGTTGTGGTCGGGGCAGCTGTAGTTGTAGTTGGGGCAGCTGTGGTTTTTGTGGTTGGTGCAGCAGTGGTTGTGGTTGAAGCAGCTGTAGTTATTGTTGAAGCAGCTGTAGTTATTGTTGGGGCAGCTGTAGTTGTTGTGGTTGGTGCAGGAGTGGTTGTGGTAGGAGCAGCTGTTGTTGTGGTTGAAGCAGTGGTTGTGGTCGGGGCAGCTGTAGTTGTGGTTGGGGCAGCTGTGGTTGCTATGGTTGGTGCAGCAGTGGTTGTGGTTGAAGCAGCTGTAGTTGTTGTTGGGGCAGCTGAGGTTGTTGTTGTTGGTGCAGCAGTGGTTGTGGTTGAAGCAGCTGTAGTTGTTGTTGGGGCAGCTGAGGTTGTTGTTGTTGGGGCAGCTGAGGTTGTTGTGGTTGGTGCAGCAGTAGTTGTGGTTGGGGCAGTTGTTGTTGTGGTTGGGGCAGCTGTGGTTGGTGCAGCTGTGGTTGTGGTTGAAGCAGCTGTAGTTGTTGTTGGGGCAGCTGAGGTTGTTGTGGTTGGGGCAGCTGTGGTTGTTGTGGTTGGTGCAGTAGTAGTTGTGGTTGGCTTAGTTGTTGTGGTTGGGGCAGCTGAGGTTGTTGTGGTTGGGGCAGCTGAGGTTGTTGTGGTTGGTGCAGCAGTAGTTGTGGTTGGGGCAGTTGTTGTTGTGGTTGGGGCAGCTGAGGTTGTTGTGGTTGGGGCAGCTGTAGTTGTGGTTGGGGCAGCTGAGGTTGTTGTTGTGGTTGGGGCAGCTGTAGTTGTGGTCGGGGCAGCTGTAATTGTGGTTGGTGCAGCAGCGGTTGTGGTTGGAATTGTTGTAGTTGTTGTGGCAGCAGCTCTTGTTGTGGTTGGGGGAAATGTTGTTGTGGTAGGAGAAGCAGTTGTCGTAGTTGGAGCTGCTGTTGTGGTTGGCACAGCAGTGGTTGTAGTGGTTGTTGCAGCAATGGTTGTAGTTGGTGCAGCAGTTGTTGTGGCTGGGCCAGCGGTAGTTGTTGGAGCCACAGTGGTTGTTGTTGTTGTTGGCACAGCAGTGGTTGTTGTTGGAGCAATGGTTGTTGTGGTTGTAGAAACAGTGGTTGTTGTTGGGGCAGGTGTTGTTGGAGCAGCTGTTGTGGTTACAGCAGCTGTTGTCGTTGGCACAGCTGTGGTTGTTGTTGGGGTAGGTGTTGTTGTAGGAGCAACAGATGTTGTGGTCGGCACAACATTGATCGTTATGCTTGTTTGCCCCTTTGTCTTCATTGCTATAGCTATGACAAAAAATTATTTGTGCATGTTATTTTTCTTTTTGTTAGCTTCTCACATTGTTGTGACATGTTTTCACTTACCAGCAACCAGAATGAATATCCAAATACTCTTCATTATGATCCTGTATTATAAGTTCTGTTTAAGAAATAACACATTTGTTAGCTTTGCATTTTAAAACCTTCAATTCTCCTTTTTTAGACATTTTTTCTTATATATTTTCTTTCCTTTATCTGGTATCAGACCATTTAACCCTTTAACTGTCACCCTGAAATCTCTTAAATGTAATCCAAAGGTTTAATGAGGATTCCATTGTCATAACAGTTAAGGATTCAAAGATTACAAATTAGTTTTTTTCCCCTTTGTTTAATGTGCCTTTTCGTATTGCATTCTTTATCCCTTTTTCCTTCAATGTTTTTGAAAGTAAAAGAAAGAGTATTTCCAATGCTCAATAATAAACTGTAACAGAATAGCATTTTGATGTTACATAAGTCTTCTGTCAACTCAGCATAATTCTTATCAATTCACTTGTGTGGTAGTTTCAGAACTTATGTCATCATGATACATTTTCAATAAAAACAGACCTAGTTCTTATGAAGACACCCAGTATATAATCAAATAAATCCAAGACCATTTGAAATTCAATTACCCTATCTTTATTTTAAGGTTGTCAAATTTAAATTGTTATGCTACCTGAGCGTCACCATTTTGTTTTAAAAGACATTAATCTATACAATATAGTCTCCAGTGCTTTATTTTTATAATAACAGAATTACAGTAAAAACATATGAATGTGACTGAAATTATTTAGTAAAGCAACACTTACAGGTTCTGTCGAATGAGTTCTCTTCACTTTGACACTGTTCGCTGAATGACTGGTACTGCTTACTGGTGTAGTGGAGAGCTTTATATTCATCAAGCGCACGTAGCATGGATTCAGGTGCACGCAAAGATGAAAATTAGTAATTCTGTGAACAATACTTTATTGTAGGTGTGGCTACCTGTGACATATTTCTGTCTTTAATTTGGATATGTGCGTGTGTGTGAAAGGTGCCTGAGGTAAGCTTGTTGAACAGGATTTATTTTCCTGTTACATATGTGAACATAGTGTTAAATTTAGGATTGTGTTCCTGCTTTCTAATAAAAGTCCTTTCCACATATAGCTATATAATTTTATTTTTCTAGAAAATAGATATTAAGCCTAACTAAATTTTCTTAATATTTTTGCCTAAAACTTAACTGAATCAAAGAACATTGAATATTTTTTATTGTTTTTAATTAGAAATTCAATAAAAAATATAACAAATATGTTAGGTAATATTTTTGATATTGCATTTGAAGGTGGAGGAAGACATTATATTTTGTTGTCAAAACTAAAGAAGTTTAAATAATTTTATTTATTATTGTTAGAATAAACAGAAAACAGCTTAAAAAAGTAAATGTGTTTTACTCCACTAGTTATAAGTCTGCCAGTTGTACTTTTTTGGAGACTGATGTCTTACAGTGTGATGATGCCTCATTGTCCTGGAATGTAAAATGTCTGACGCAAATCACCAAACTCTGACATCAAGAAATATCCTCTGTATGACCAAGTCATGTTTGTCTATGTAAATTTAGACCTCTGACCTGATCTTATTGTTATTAATTTGAACATTCATATGTGATGAAAACAAAAGATGTTTTAACCCCTTAACTGTCACCCTAAGAACACTTACAAGTAAGCCAATGGGTACATGAGGACCCATTGTCCTGAGATGCCCATTTCCTCTTGTCCATTGTTTGCAGAGGCTATGATTTGTCCTTTTCTTACTCTGAACCAGACTTTTTTCTAGATTTCTTCCGCTAGTGAGTCACGCTTGAGAAAATGTGAAAAAAAACCAGCATATTTTGTGCTTTGTTGTAGCTGTTGTCGTGGCAGCAGCTGTTGTTAATACATAAAACATAATTAAAAATATTTAATTATGTTTAGATAATTAAAAGTTCATATTGCTTTAATTAAATTTAGATAACACCACTGGAGACTCAGTAAAGTGCTCTTTGAACTACTTGTTTTGTCTTTGCATCTAGTAATACAACAAATAGTCTAAAATTATAATTACAGTCAAAGGAGAGCATTAGAAATGTTTATTTCATGACTCAGAAAGTTTCTCAGGAACACCCTTGGAGTGACACGTCCAGTATGTGGACTTCTTTGTTTTGTATTGGTACAAATAGAGTTCACCCTATAACTGAACGTCATCACTTGTCCAGTTTTTACATCAGAGTCAATAAAACTGTCATGCAAGTTCGAAATAGCCTGTTTCTTGATTTTAAAATGAATCTGTGCAAGGGTCCAGCATTACAAAACAAATTTTCTATTGTATTTAATAATCAAATACGTTGTTAAGGCTGTTTGTTAAATATAGTATATTTATATATATTTTTGTAGTATTTTATCTAAGTAGTTTGAAAAAAAAATTGGTTTATTATTATGATACTAAAATTATGATAAATTATTATTACATTCATTATTAAGGCAGTAATTTTACCATTTTACTGAAATGGTAAAATTACATACTGCCCCCCATTTTATAACAGACAATTTTTTTTTTTAATTTTCTAAAATTTTAAAAAGATTTTAAAATATTAGAAAATGATAACTATAAATAGAGAGAAACACTTAATTATATCACAGACAATGTGATATTTAATGTGAACATTTGACAAGTAAACCTAGAAATAGTAAATAGATTAAATGTAGTTTAATGACTTGAAGGACATAATTAAGTGTTGAAAGAATATTATCAGTGTTTTTTACGTCTTTTTTCTTGAGGCTTACATAAGTTTTCTTCCATTCTATTATGCCACAAATAACTTTACTTTTATTGATACTTGCTAAAACTCCCATTGTGTCTGCACTAACAAAAGCTTGGTTTAATAACAGCACCTGACATAGGAGATGTCTGAGAAAAGTACAAGAACATCTCAAATAGTTGGGTGTGTCTTTTACTTTGAAATGTTTATCCTGCCTTTCTTAAATGTCACTAACTATTGTTAAGAAAGGTTATTAAAAATGTTCCTTTATTCAGAAAGGAAATAGTCTGATTATAATTACTTGTTTAGACTTCATTATGACTCGGCAATCTGCAAAATAACCCTTTAAAGTTAGATAATTGTAATTACTTAAAGTTGTTATTTGCATTTAAAAGTGTATACATAAATTGATAGAGGATTACAATTAGAATCAGTAGAATCATAGTTAATTAATTTCAGTTACAGGCCTTTCTGTACAGCTGCATAGTGATGCATATCAACTGCAGGATACATTCAACTTGCGCCTTCATTCTTAAATCCTCTTGATAAAACACAGTGCTCCAGCAGCAGTAATCATTAGGTTACGACAAGTTCTGACAAATGGAATATATGGTGTCATCTATATATAAATAAAAGCTTAAAACTAAATCACATGAAATACATGAAATATAATTTGCTTGACGTGAGTCTTTAATTTTTTTTTTTTGCTTTTCGTTTGTCCAAAAAGGAAGGACTGACATAGCGATTGTACAACTATACAAAATAGATCAAAGCACAGGTGTGAGTAATGTGTGAGGATGTGTCCTCTTTTAATGTGTTTCTCCCAACCTCTGTAAAAATGACAGGAAACCTGTTGTGAGACAAGGTTATTTAAATATTTTCCTTTCATTTTGAAGACCTCTGTTTTTTGTGCCTGACAGTGTGATAGTTAAGAGCCAAAACACATTGCACATAACATTAATAACCTCTATAGTCAAATGCTGGGTACTTCACTTAAACTTATTTTTCCTAGATAATATCACTTGGAAACCCCCAATTCACAAAGATTCTCATGCTTCACTCCCATCTTAGCCTAAAAATCCCTGCCAAGGAGTCCCTGTAGGGCTGAAACAATTCCTCGAGTGATTTGAGTACCTTGATTATTAAAATTCCTTGAGGAAATTCTATGTGCCTCGAAGCTTCGTTAAATTATATATAATTTAGCGCAGTGTTCTGGCCGAGTTATTACTTGCGGTGCGCGAAGCTTTCACTTCTGTCCGAGTTGTTGACGAAGGCTAAGTGTTGGCAGCATAAAGTCCAGTTTTCAAGTTCGGCCTGAGAGGATTTTAGTGATATTTTTTGTTTTTCGGGAACCAATAAACATCCTTAAAATAACTGGCACTATGCCTGAAGTATGCCTGTGGTGGATAGGAGGGTCACCCTGTAACCTTAATGGTGAACCTAAGGGTTCACAGCTAGAAAGGAAGAGACCAGTATATTATGATCAGTTTCTAAAACTACGTATATTATGATCATCCCACTCAGTTCAAGTTTGTCCAACTCAGTTTATTGTGTTCTTCCAGCTCATTTTAATTGTGATCATTCAACTAAATTCAATAAGTTCATTCAATTCAATTTGCTAAATTTATCCAACTCAATTTATTATGATCATCCAACTCGATTCATAAAGTTTATCCAGCTCAATTTATAAAGTTTTCTTAACTAAATTTATTAAGTGAGTTCAAAATGTAAGTCAGTCTTACTCAAATCATTCAGCTCAAATAAAGAAATAACTAATAAAGAATCTTTTTTGTGGCTCATTCAGCTTTTATTTGGGAGTTGTTACACAGGAAAGGGAGATAGCATGCAGCAAAGGTCATCAGGATGGGAATCAAACCTGCAATAGCAGTGCCGAAGACTATGGCCTCATTATGTGAGTTGTGCTTTACCTCCGCGCCACCACAACACCAAGATCAGTGCAGAATCTCGATGATGATGTATAAGGTGCTGTGGACGTTCAGATCTTCAGGGGAATAAGGCTGTTGCCCATGTCCCCCAAATCAGTAATAATGTTGATGTCAAGGCTGAACAAATATTTGCTATCCACTATTTTGCATTTTTTCTTCACTGTAGTATTTGTGGTTGCATAATTGTAAAGTCACAGTGGTTGATTAAATCCGTGAACACCCACTGAAGGGCCAGGGATCAAATGCACGGCCAGCCACTGGAAAAGATTAACCACTGTTTTGTCACTTAATTCTGAAATCAAACAAATCAATTTTTTTATTAATAAATGCTAAATTATGATAATTTATTGAAATATTTAAAGAAGAGGGAAAAAACCAGAGTATACATGCTGGATATCTATCACATATATTCTGCACCCACTGAAAAAATAAATATTAAATTAAAAATAATAACATTTTTTACAAAAAATATATATAATCTCCCATATTGTAGTGTATTTGAAAAATTTTAAGTCTTAAGACCAAAGAAATAATAATATTTATGTTGCATTTGAAGTTCACAATTAAATTAATAAATTACAAAATATTAGTTCACAGAAATAAACATGTTTCATGTAATTTAGAAAATATATTCAAGAGTAAGAGGTTTATATGAAGACAAGCATAAGTCCAGTTTTAATTCATCATAACTACTGAAAAAAAAGCTATGACCAAGAAGACACTGGATTTGTTGTGAACTGCATTGGAGGTTGTTGTAGTTGTTGAAACCGTGCTTGTAGTAGTTGTGGTTGTGGCAGCTGTGGTTGTTGGTGCAGGCGACGTTGTAGTTGGTGCAGTTGTGGTTGTTGTTGGTGCAGTCATCGTAGTTGGCGTAGCTGTGATTGTAGTTGGTGCAGTTGTGGTTGTTGTTGCAGCTGTGGTTGTTGTTGGAGCAACTGTGGTTGTTGGTGGTGCAGTCGTCGTAGTTGGTGCAGCTGTTGTAGTTGGTGCAGTTGTGGTTGTTGTAGGTATGGCGATGGTTGTTGTTGCAGCTGTGGTTGTTGTTGGAGCAACTGTGGTTGTGGTTGTTGCAGCTGTGGTTGTTGTTGGAGATGCTGTCGTTGGTACAGCAGTGGTCGTTGTTGGAGCTGTGGTGGTTGTTGGAGCAGCTGTGGTTGTTGTTGGTGCAAGAGTGGTTGTGGTTGGTGCAGTGG